GTGCCCTTCAGTGGACTGCTTTTGGTGACTCCAACTCTTCCTTCCTGTCATTCTGTCCCCAATCTTTCTCCCTCCTATTGTTCTCCTCTTATGTTTTTCCCCTCCCTTCCTCTAGAATCTCTCTCGTCCCACCACCCTCCATTCTTTCCCTCCATCTCCTATCCTGTATCTCCCCTCTCTCTAGCTTCTGTCCAATCCTATGTTACCTATCTCTTCCAGTCTCCTCTCTCTCTCCTCTCCTGTCACTTCCTAACACTGATCTCTCTCCTCTCTCCTGTCATCTCCACTGACTCTCCTCTCTCTCTCTCCCCGTCTGTGAGCGCTCTCTAATCCATCATTAATCGTGTCTTCCTCCCCCTTTCTCCTCCTGTCTGTGACTCATTCGGTTCTACACATCACTTCTCTCTCATGTTTTCTGAGACTCAAAGAAGAGAGGGAACGACAGAGAAGAGAGGGAGAATCAGAAAAGGGGGGGACTCAGAAGAGGGGGAGTGACTCGAATGGGAAGAGGAGGAGACTCAGAAATGGAGCGACTTAGAGAACAGGGGGGACGCAAAAGAGGAGTCAGAGAAGAGAGGGGAGACTCAGAAGACAGGGAGACTCAGGAAAGAGGAGACAGAGAGGGAAACCCTTAAGACTCCAAGAGACATCCCAGGGGTCTCGCTTTGCCTTTCCTTCTGGGCTCCCCAGGGCAGGGGAAGACCTTCAAGGCCCCATGTAATGACATGGGCTCCTCAACTGGGGCGGTGCCTGTGGGAGAGGTGATGAGTGGGGGGGAGAGTCGGGGAAAGGTACACAGAGGATCAGGCCTGTGGGAATCACTCATTTTTTGCACAGCGGGAATCTTGCAGAGGAGAAACCTACTCGGAGCATGAACGATTTGGACGGCTCGCCTTGGCTGGTGGTGCTCCGTGTTCAGAGCATTGGCCCGTGCACGGAAGGGTTTCAGGTTTGATTCCCTGTCGAGGCACATACCTGGGTTGTAGGTTCCGGCCCTCGCCCTGGTAGCAGATTGATGGCTCTGCCTGTCTGTCTCTTTCTCGAAACCACCCCATCAGCCTCACCTGCAGCCATTCTGCCCAGGAGACTTTTTTGGTTCTTACAAATTGGGATGCTGCTCAGGATGTGGCCCAGGATGCTGCTCAACATCCTGAAGAATGCCCCTGACTCAGTTCTAGCCCCTCTCAGCAGGAGTAAGAAGTTGTGCCCACCCGGGGCCCGAAGGGGACACACTCCAGGCCCCCAGTGCAGGCCCATCCACCTTTCTGATTGTACCTCTTGAGTCTGCCCCGTGATGAGGTTCTAGCCCTGGTGCCCAGAATCCCAGCAGCAGGCACACACGTCCATGCCCCTGGAGGCAGACGTACAGACATGCCCCGGACTTTGGAGCCTCAAACGCCCCAGGACTCACTTTCACCCTATCAACCATACTTGGGAGCCTTACCTGCCTGTCCAACGACACAGTGACAGTGCTCTCCCAGAGTCTCGGGGGAACTATAGACATCCACACACCTGATGAGCAGCCCACCTCTACAGACACTCATCTCAGCCCCACCCTAGTGACCATGGTCTTAAAGACAGTCTTGTCCACTAGAGGATGGACAGAACCCCCGCCCAGTTCAGCTCTTGGGAACAGGCCTGACAACAGCAAATGCCACTATGGCCCTCCCGCAGCCATGTAACCCAGCTCCAACTCTTGTTTTGCAGCGAGGCCGTGTCATCTCCCTGTGTTTGCTCCTTCAGATGCACAGAGATCAACACAGGCTATGGGATGACAGGAAAGCAAGCGAAGACGACATCACTAAATGAAATGAACAAAGCTCCAGTAACTGACCCCAAAGGTAAATAATTCAAAGTAATTTCCTAAAATAAACTTAATGAGATACAAGAGAACCTAGATCTATAAACGAATCAGGAAAACAATGCGGGAATAAGATAAATTTAATAAGAAACAGGACTCATAAAAATGGGCAAAGGCCCTGAATAGACAGTTTTTCACAGAAGATGTACAAATGGTGAGTAGGCACATGAAAGGCTACACGCTCAGCTGCCAAGGAGGGGAGAAAAGGGAGCCCCGTGCACGGCGGTGGGACTGTGGAAGGGTGCAGCCACCCTGGAAACAGTGTGGAGTTTCTTCAAATAATGAAAAAGAGAACTACTGTATTATCTAGCAGTTCCCCTTCTTGGAATATAGCCGAAGGAAATAACACTATGTGGAAGAGATACCGGCACCCCCCTGTTCGTGGCATCATTAAGATGGGCGTCTGTGTGTGTACATACATACACACATATGTACATGTATATATGGTTGACCCTTGAATGATGCAGGTTTCAAATGTGTGGGTTCACTTGTAAGTGGATTTTTTTTCAACCAACCCCATGCAGTTCAAAGGGTCAATTGTACATGTAACGGAATGACCTTCACCCATAAGAAATGAAATCCTGACATTTGGAACAACATGGGTGGACTTTAAGGGATTATGCTCAATGAAAGAAGAGAGATACTGTATGAGCTCACTTACATGTGGATCTAAAGTAAAGCAAAAAACATTAAAAAGTTCAGATTTTTAGTTACTAGAGGCATAGGTGGGTGAGGTGAAATTGGATGGAGATGGTACAAAGGTAAACTTCCAGCTGTAGGTAAGTACGAGGGGTGTAACGTACAATAGGACTACAGCGAGCGCTACTGCGCGGTGTCAGAGAGAATGCTAAGCATCCTGAGCACGAGGAGTTTGTTTTCCTTGTGTAACTACATGGGATGATGCATGCTGACAAGTTACTGTGGTAACCGTCACAGCGTATGTAAAGTCATGCTGCACACCTTAAGTTACACAAGTACTATGTCCACTTATGTCAATAAAACTGGGAACTGATGCCACAGAAGTACAAAGGATCACAGAATTATGAACAATTATACAGCAACAAACTGTATATCCAAAAAGATAAATTCCTAGAAACATGTGATCTGTGAGTACCAAGTAATCTGATCAGACCAATACCGAGGAAGGGGAATGAGGCACAACCACAGATCCACCAACACAAATGCCCAGGGCCGGCTGCTAAGAAAGGGTTAGTGCCCGTCGTTCTCAAACTACCCAAATATTGGAAAGGGTGCACCTCCAAACTCAATGAGGCCAGCGTTAGCCACCTATCAAAGCCAGATAAGGACACTGAAAGGAAATTGCACATCAATATTTCTGATCAATATAAATATAAAAATCCTCAGCGAAACACTGAGCCCCTGGCCCACCCCAGCCCTTTCCAAAGGCTTTTCCATACAAATAGCTTGGTCTTGGCTCATGCTGCCGACTTCCCCAAAATCTCTCAAACCAGCATCTGGCCTTCACCTGCCCCACCCTGTACCTCTCCGGAGTGGCTCCAGGCCCAGCACCAGCAGCAGCCCACCTTGGTTCGTAGCCTGGCCTCTCCCAGGCACCTGCAAGCCCAGCACAAATAGCAGCCATCTGCAGGTTGCTTTGTAGCTCATGGTGCATGGCCCCAGGCAGGGGACAGGTGGTGGCTGACCTTGGCCTGCACCGCCCAGGAGACCCCAGAGTCAGGGCACCCAGTGGACAGCTTTAGATCACACCAAAGCACCACCCAAACACCTCCACGAGCCACACACTCAAGGAGTGGGCTCAGTGGGTACCTGAGCCCAGCTGAAGTGAGTTCTGCTCCATGGGGTTGGCCCCTGCACAGCAAATCCTCCATGGTGGTCATGGCCAGTCCTTGCAGCCGACTATACTGGAGTAGATCCCTCCCATCAACGTGCCAACGGCAATCGAGGCTCAATTATAACAGGAGGACACCCCCCCCCACATGGAGGTGTACATGGAACACCCAGGTGACGGGGGAGGCAGCCAAAATGAGGACAAGGAAACATGTCCTGAGTGAAATAACAAAAAAAACTCCAAAATAGAACTAAGCAGAATGGAGACAAGCAATCTACCAGATGCAGAGTTGAAAACACTGGTTTTAAGAATACTCGATGACCTGTGACAACTGCAACAGGAGACAGGAGATTTTATTAAAGAGACAGAAAACATAAAACACCCATCAGCCCCAGCCAGAGGGGCTCAACGTTGTCCTGTGCACTGAAAGGCTGCCAGTCCAGTTCCTGGTCAGGGCGCACACACGGGTTCCAGGTTTGATCCCCAGTCAGGGTATGTAGGGAAGGCAGCTGACCACGTTCCTCATCTCTCTCCCTCCGAAGCATGGCCTTGGGTGAGGGTTTAAAGAAATAGAAATGAAGACACAGAGGGAATCCACAGGAGATGAGATGAACCAAGTCAGAGATGTGGGAAGGGAGCCGAGAGCACCACACAAAACAGGAAAAAAGAATTCGCAAAGTGAGGTGAGCCCGGCCGGCGCGGCTCAGTGCTTGAGCGTCAGCCTGATCCAGGAGGTCACGGTTCAGTTCCTGGTCAGGACACAGGCCCAGGTTTCAGGTTCAATCCCCAGCAGGGGGCGTGCAGGGGACAGCCGATCAGTGACTCTCATCATGGATGTCTCTCCCTCTCCCTTCCTCTCTCTGAAATCAATAATTATTTAAAAAATGAGGCTAGTTTAAGGGGCCTCTGGAACATCAAGAGGAACAACATTCGCAGCATAGGGGTGCCATAAAAATGGAGACCGAGGAACTGAAACCTATTTGAAGAAATAATGATGGAAAACGTCCATAACCTGGTGACAGACATGGACATAAATAAGACAATGAAGGACCCGGCAACTCCACTTATTTCCATGTGCTGCTTTCAACCCCTACATTTGGATGAAATGACTGGGTCATTGATAGTGATCTCTGGGGTCCGAGACCACAAAATAACCAAGTCTCCGTTGCCCTGCTTTCGTTCAGCCAGGAGGAAAGCAGTTTACTTCCTCCCCACGGCCACCCGCAGCATCCCACACATCTCCAGCGCATCACTCGCTCTGACACTCTGATGATTTATACACACAGCCATGCTCCCACTGGGCAAAGCAATAAAAGCACGTCTCCACGGTGCTCGCTCACGCCGCATCTTTATTAGCCAGAGCCCCACCTCCTAGAAGACACACAGCTGACCCACGGCACCTAGTGCCCACTCCGTTCCGGCGTGCAGGGCTGACGGCACCATCGCTGGGCCTGGTTTCCTCAGGTACACAGAGCTCTGTCGGAGGCAAGGCCAGACTGGGGGTCCCTTTCCTCTCCCCACTGGACAGGACACGCACAGGCGAGATGACCCAGGCACCATGGAGCAGAGTGAGTGGCCCTCTCCCTCCCTCGCTCCCACGTAGTCCATCTGACTACAGACTTCATTCAGTATCACACATGCCACGCAGTGGGGTACCGTCTGAGCTCTGTGCACGGAAGGAGAGGCGAGCGCACGTCTGCCACACCCGGGGTCGCACCCACAGCCCACAGGAGCCTGTGACCGAGGAGAGCTCTTCCATCCTGGGGCGTGAGGGACCCCGGCGCAGGACGCCCCAGCTAGGAGGGGACCGCCCTGACAGGCCGCTTTTCCATGAAGAAACTTTTCAGCAGCAGCACCTGGCTGACGCTGACCACAAATAGGGCGATGGTCTCGCCCACAGACCAGTAAGAGACCCGGCTATTCAGGTCTTCGGCCCGGGCCCGGTCCTGGGCCTCCCGGAGCCGGTAATGCGTCTGGGAGTCGATCACGGTCCTCAGGGCCTCGTGAATGGTCACACAGGCAGACTCCATCTGGGCGGGAAGAGAAGAGCGGTCACGTTGCTAACCCTGCGCCCAGCACACAGCAAGTGTCAACATCCACTGAACACTCCAGGCTTTACTTAACCCTCCTGATGGCAAGGACAGCACCATCCAACCTCGCACGCCCACCACCTGGCACCGTGTGCAGAGTCAGTGCCCACCACGGGCAGGTGACAGCTCTCGGAGGTGGACACTAAGGGACCGCCATTCGAGGCGGAGGGCAGAGGAACAGAAGTAGAAGGACACACCTCGCTTGAGGCTGGGCAGAAGGAAGTGCAGATCACTTTCCTGCAACCAAATCAAAGTAATTCCGAGCCTCCAGGAAAGAACTTCTCTACCACGCTCATCCCCCGTGCCTTTTCTCTACTGAGTGGTTTCCACTGGCTAGAGAGGAAGGCCCTGCCGCTCTGCTCCGGAGGCTCCCTAGATCTTCAGAACAGACGCTGTTTCATCAGCGGCCCACGAAACTCAAGAGCATGGGCTGTGGAAGAGCTCACACGCAAGACACACCCTGGGCCGGATCTTTGCTGGCGGTGTCCACCGAGCTTCCTGTGAGTGGCCACTAGTCACCTGTGACTGCTGAGCACTACAAATGTTGCTAGAGAGCAAACAAGGAAGTAAAGTTTTAAATGTAATAGGATGAAGAGAGTGGCCACCGTACGGGACTGCGTGAGCCTCACTGGCCTCCCAGCTGCCTAGGGAAGGTGAAGACTCAGCATGTGAGCCCACGGCCAAAGCCACAGAGCAGCGGAGCACGCGGCCACCCTGGAGGGCAGCCTGGCAGGTAATCTGGTCTCGACAGACCCAGGTGCTCTGACTTTGGTTCTGGAACAAGTGCAGCCATAGGTGGCCATTCCTGTCTTGCAGGTCTCCCTGGGCCTTGTCACTCAGTCACCTGACCACTGTGTGGATACAGGGCAAATAACACAGAGCCTACATGTGGGAGGAGGGAGGAGCTTAGAAAGCAGGAGGGAACGAAGTCGGCTGGGATCAGATTATAACCAGCCTGGAGAGCCATTGGTGACAGCGATAACCATCTGTCCGCCAAATTGTTCACCATTTCTCTATCGAGTGTGCACTTGTTGCCAGGAGCCCAACCAGGGCTAAACTTGCCAACCCTCTTCCATCCAGACTGGTCACGTGGTTCTTTCCCAACTATGGGGTATGAGTGGAATGTGTATTACTTTTGAGCCAGGGCTTTTAAGAAGCAGGTGCACCTTCCTCAGTCTCTCCTTCCTTTGGTGGCTAGAGGCAAGGGGCTCAGAAGTCCTAAGGGACAGTAGAAGATGACACAAGAGAGAGCCTGGATTCCTGAGTCATTCCATGGAGCAAAGGTCTCCAC